ATAAAGAAAATTCTTTCTATATTAAAATACTTCATATTCCACATTTTATTATAAAATTGTAACATTTAAAAGTATTCATATATTTCATAAATATCTATTGGAATATGTGGAATTGAAATGATATTAAAACGCGGAGTGCAAGAAGACCTAGCCTAAGTTAAATGAAATGAAACACAATAAAAATGTTACTACTCATGGGTATGTATAATCATACCCATGGTCACTATGCTCGTCAACCACGTATGCAACCAGTAACCCGTGTCGATTCGGACCATTCGTCCTACGACATGAATGGGCACTGGAGGAATCATAAAACATGCGACTCACCGTTCGCAGATATACTCTTCTTCCAACAGTCAAGTAGGAGGATGCACAATAACCAGGTAGGAGGATGCCCAAAACGAGGTAGACTGAAGACGGAAGTCGTGAAGAAAGCCATCAGGATGTCCGGCAACTCGGCAAAATCAAAAAATTCATCTGTAACAAAACAAAAAAGAATTACGGTTAATTTTGCAAATTATCAATTTTTATTCTAATAAAATTATATATAATTTTCGATTTTATAAAGTATTAGCTATTAAAAAAAAACTCTCAATTATCAAGTTTTGAAATTGTAAATTATTCTATTTTAATTAAAAGCAATTGAATAAAGTAATAAGATACTTACACTCTTTCCTTGTGGAGCATCGCCCAAGACTCCTCTTCAGTGGTGCCGTGACTCTAATATACCGAATATATCGAGCAATTAAAACAAAAGATTAAAAATGAAAATAAAGATATAAAGTACTAGTACGCGACCGTGAATAATTTTCGGCGAACAATTGTAGACTCTACTTTCGCGATGGAAAAAAGTAAATCAGAGCCGCGATGCTCTAGAAAATATTTTATAACACGCAGCAAACACTGACTCTACTATCGCGTGATTCCTAATTGTATAAACGCAACTCTATTCAGGGCCAGTTCACCCTTGACAAAATCAAAACATTGAAAGTATGTACGTACAAACACTGACTCTACCGACCGCCTTGCGCGCGGCCACAACAATTCCTGGAAGAAAAGATTAGCATGGAGGTTGGGGATGGGTGGAAATATGTATATAAAAACAACATTCTTTCTATTGAGTGTTGGTTAGGGAAATACTGTTGTATGGTTATTAATGACTTGTAAATGAAAATATCTGTGTTCGTAAAATATCTTCAACGAACACAAATGTTGTTAAAACTGAATATTGATCCTAGATTGAAATGAAATGTTTTAAATAACTGCTGGTAATTATTTCAATGAATATTACATCGATAGAAAATCATTTTGTAATAAAGATAATAGACTATTCTATTAAAGTAGAGGATTTTCGTTGTTAAGGTTGTAAGCATATAAAAAATTGTTGAAAATTTTATTACGTCATGATTTATAAATTATATAAATTCTTTTCAATAAATGAAATCCGAAAATTAATCATGCTTAAATAGCATGTGATTTATTAACGTGATTCTACTTCAATTTAAGCTTGCACCGAAAACTGTATATTATAATATAATTACGATGATGTAACAAAAACAAATTGTTGAAAATAATGAAAATTAAATTAATAATTGCAGAAGAGAAGCAATCATCTGCAGTAGAATACAAATTGTTTCAATTTTGTACTAATTTAAGACACGTGTATTAAATTGCTACACGAAAATATTTAATAAAATGAAAAATTAATGATCCCTTTTGTGTTAATCGATAAAAAGAAATTTCTTTAATCTTTCCTTCCTTAACTTTGGTACCAATTAATTATTAAGAATGCTTACAAGTAGTAACAACGATCCAACAAAAAAAAAGAATAAATATTAACAATTGATTACAATAAATGAAAACGTTACCAATCCTTTATGAAATTATTTCAAATCAATATGAAGTGTCATGACGTTGTTTCAATATCAACCAAATATCTGTAACAAATAAGAAATACAAATTTATGTAAATAAAATTTAAACAATAGCAATAAAATTATGATTAACAAACGATTGAATTTTATAGTTTATGCAAAATATTTGAATAGATAAGCTGTGCGTACCTATTATGTACTACCGGCATGTAAGAGAGGACGTTCTCAACGCGTCTTATCACCTCGACGTTCACGAGGCAAATGACGAGACCTTCCTACCCCTCGAAGACCAATCGGTAACGTTCGGTAATACTCGGTAATAATCGTTCGGCACCGGCTGGACACCGGCCGATGTCGAAGCAGCTAAACGAACAGATTATACGATATTACGATGCTCAAGGAAGAACGTTATTGAATTCTCTTGTTAAAATCAACACGCGGTAGTAAACTTTAACAATTTGAAACAGTAAATTGTGGGTACATTCAATAATGTTTAAGAAATTAACGATATAATAGGGAAAGTAATTCTGATTCTGTAATTCCAACCTCATTGTGAATTCGCGACAAGATCAAGAATTTTCAACTCACGTATTTTTGAACAAAAAGTCGAATTAATGTTAAAAATCAATAATCTAGACTTCTCTTCGACGTTTCTTTCTGTTTTTTGTACTTCGAACACCCAAAAGGCAGTTTAATTTAATATATGAAGATAATTTAAGCTTACCTGTTGCAGTCGCGTGCAAAACCGTCGAAGCTTCGAGGGGGGAATGAAGCACTACGCCACATTCTGTTCACTAACCGTACAACCGACGACTCTGATTGGTCGAAATGGGAGGACGCCATAATGAAACGACCAATCACAGCCGTTGGTAGAAACTTCGAATTGCCTCAAAACTTCAGTACTAGAACAAGGGAAAGGTTAGTTGAAAATTATCAACGCCATATTGAAATAAAGTCAAGATTACTTTTTGCAACTTGAAATACGAAAATATGGAAAAGAAAGTAGTAAAACATACAGGATATTCATGGTATTTAATAAATTATCGTGATAAAAGCAGAATAAATGAGGAATGTATTATTTTAATTCGTATCTATGTATATTGGCAGAGTAGACAAAAACGACGAGATCAATTATCACAATTTATAATAATAAATTATGGGATTAATGTATTAAAAACATGAAGAAAAGTTAATAATATTCAAGAAATGATTGATATAAAGGAAACGTAATTCAGCAAGAGTAAAAAGATTTCACCTTAAGCATTTCCGAAGACAATGTAGAGTTGATGTCAGAAATGATGAATCTGGACTTCTCTCCCACTTTTCCTTCTGATTTTTGTGTTTTTTATATCACGAATACAGTTTAATATAATATTTTAGTAGGATGTAATGTCACTTATCACAAGCACGTGCACGCAGGACGGAGTTCCAGAGGAAAGTGACGTAATGAGTCAGACCTGCGTACATCGCCAATAGCGACGATTCTGATTGGTCGAAAGTAAGGGGCAATTGCCATTGGTGGAAATGAAAAATTGTCAGTAGTTCATAAAGTTCAAATAATAAATACAGAAGACAAAACTAAATTATGTATTTTTTTACCTTGCATACAATACCCATCTTGTTTTAAACTTTAGTTAATTGTAATTAACTAATGAATAAAATCGCATTTACTATTTAACCATTCTCGAACGTTTTGCCTCGTGTAAATTCTTAAAATTATGTACCGTCCTGAATCCTAGAGTACGTAACAAAACGACAGGCAAAAATGCAGTTGCAAACTATGTCGGTATTTCAGAACATGAGATACGAAGTAGGTATCGAAAAGGTAAAGAAATGTGTATTCAAGTACTAAATTTGCAAAAAATATTATACCTACATATAATAAAGTGTATTAATAAAGCGGGACTAAATAGAACTATTAGAGAGGTTTAGCTCCAGAACCAGGATTTGATAAACTAACCCTTTAGTTCCTTAACCCTTAAAGGCTACTATGATATGTTTCTCTTAAACAAATTAAATTCTTAGTGAATTATCAATTTTATGATAACGTACTATCATTCCTAACAATCTGAATAAATATTTCAATAATTAAAGTTAGCAGTTGTAATGTCAATTACTACAGGCCGCAGAAATCTTAATCCGGTCCTGGCTTTGGAACTCGTTGCAGGTAATTAAAATACCATCTCTTTAATTAACCCCCTTATGCGGTGAATAATCTGTACACTTACATACGACCTTACTTTTTGCTAAAAGAAGCTTGAAATTCAATTCAACAATCGTTTGTACTTTTTTCTTCAGTATTACCTCTTGTCACCTAGAATTCCTCTAACGTATAAGGAAGTACCAGCATTGGACACAAAGAGAAAAACGCTGTTCCTCTTTTTACGTAACGATGCAACCGAAAACCGTCCCCCTAGCACGTTATAACAGTGAAAGTTTCTCTATGGATGAAATTCGAGATGCGCGGAAAATACAACTTAGTGTTTCTATGAAAAATCTCGTCAGTTGACGTGCAAACAACTGGATCACGGAAAGAATAATCAGTAATAAAGGAGGGAAGAAGCCCCCTACTATAGACATGCCAGATATCTTCAACAGATAGATCACCGCAAACGCGATACAGGTCGATGAGGTTCGAAAGTATTTCTACAAAGTTCGACCAGGAAGTTATTGAGTTAGAACAAAGTAAAAAATAATCCACTTAACGATCTATTCGGATGAGTAACAGAGGCTCGTACGAGTTCTTTTTATGCTAGATTAAAAGATTATATTTATATTTCGAGCAATCACTTTCAAAAACAGAAAGAAAACAGGCCGTTGCGGTTTTACTAATGACGATTGCATTTTCTATCTTACAATATATTTATCGATCAATAATCTTTATAATTGACCTATTTCTTTCCAACTAACTTGACCAGCCCCCTTCATGTTATATCTTCGCACGGTCTCGTAATAAAACGACTTGAACGACAACAGTACTTACGTGTAACGTTGCTTTAGAAAGGCGTGTTTGGTACACCCGTGTGCGATATTACAACAGTGTGACACACATGCATGTGGTAAGCTACTTTGGCGGGATGCGATACCGCAAGAAAAAGACCCACCGTGGTATAAAAGGGGGTGTATTCTCTGGAGTAGGCATCAGTTTCAATTGCGAACTGCCTAACGCTACATAACCAACATGAAATTCCTCGTAAGTAACTCGAACGACTTTAAACTGTAAATTAGTAAATTGTTTAAAGACTATGAATTTAAAAATTTTAAATTCCTTGTTATACTTAGCAAGAAATTATTAAATCATTGTGACGCACTGTTTCGATTTTTAAATTTGTTTCTATGAATGGTACCATGGTTTCATTGATGATTTAGAGACCTCATAATTCAAAGATGAGTTAATACTTTCCTGTTAGTCAAAATTTATACTAAAATAATTTTTCATGAAATTTTGTTAATTTCATTAATGTGAGAATTTTTTGACAATATTTTTAACTTTGAATAATAATTAATAATTGGGTTAAAGAAGTACTATAGGATTTTTTAAAATATTTCTTTCTTAGATCGTTCTTGCTATCATCGCCCTTGTGGCTCCCATCTACGGCCAGGAAGCCGAAGAAAAGAAGCTCGAGAAAAGAGGCATCAGTCTTGGATTGCATTCTGCAGGCATAGGATCTGGAGGAGGTAATGTAATTTAATTTTCAATAAAAATTTATCCCTAATCTAAAAATTTATCCATCATTCGAGTCTTTAAACCATCCATAAAGAATCTATAAAGCTATGATATTGCCGAAAAAGTGGGATGAAAATAGACTTAAGCAGGTATGAATGCGTATTCTCACAAAAAGTTCTTGCGATTCAAACTAATCCATTTACTTTAGTTTACAAGAAGTCTAATTCTTTATAAAGAAATACAATTTATAATTAGTTAAAGTACCTAACAAAAACAGTGATTGTTTAATTGTTTTTACAGTAGGACATATTGTGTTTTTAACTGATATGCCAATTTTGACTGAATTATTTCAATTTTAGGACTGGGAGGCGGTTATTCCTCATACAGTGCACCGATAGTTCGTGTTTCCAGCGGATATGGTGGTGGATATGGTGGACATGGACTCGGCGGATACGGTGGAGGACTTTCTGGAGGACTTTCTGGAGGACTTTCTGGAGGACTTTCTGGAGGACACGGTGGCTGGTGAAGAAGGCAATATTAATCGGTGCTAACACGCATTGATACAGTTCTAAACTTTGTCTGGAAATATTATATTTTACATTTTCTACATTTTCTACTGCTCAAATGAGGTTTTGTACTGATATCTTAAATAAATTTTGATACCTTTTAATTTTGATACCATCATTTACCCTATCACTATTTAGCTGTTAAGAGAAGATTTTATTACACTCAACTGTGAAAGTATAAGAGAATATTATAATATTACTTCCCTATTAAATTTTTAAATGTTATAAACTTAATTTATTTGTCCTTACTAATATGGTAAAATGGTACTTATCGTTAGAGGAAACCATTTATGGAATGAATTGTGGAAATCCCAAGGAACACTAATTGCTTGACATTACAAGTAACAAAGGTAAAGAAATATTGTAAAAATAATGGATGATTTGCTAAAAATAAAAATACCATTCTTATAGAAGAGGAAGTCCCTTACTATCAAATGGGAAACGTATCTATGAAATAAATTGTGATCCTTAGATTCTAATTCCCTAATACCTTTTACAATTTTTGCATCACTTTTAGAACATACATAATTATCGAATAATACTAAAACGGAATTTTTCTATTCTATTCAGTATCAAAATTGGTCCCTTCCAGTATTCTTCCTTCTCATTAAAGGGTTTGAATCTGAGAAGAGACATGATAATATAGGAATGTACGTTATCTACATACAGTTAAAGACTGCTATGTAGTTCGATGTCTTCTCGGTAGACAAAAACTAGAGAATGCCCAAGTGCATTCTCTAAATGTGGTTAATTGTCAACAAAACATTTAATTATAACAATTATGAATTTCTTGACTAAAGGTCTAGCGAACATAGCTAGATCTTGCCTCACTAAATCCATTCAAGGTATGGTCATTATTTCATAGTAATTACACATTTTATTGCATAACCTCTAATGTAACCTCTCCGTAAAGAGATCATTTTTCTCTTTTATAAATAATATTTCACAATTATCAATAACCATCAGCTGATATTTATATGTTATAAAGTATTTGCAGTAACTATATTTTGTTGTCAAACGAAAATTGTAGAATGCTACTCCAATAACTGAGTGATTAATATTCGTGTTTATGTTTATTATTTGGCATAGATAAACAAATTATTTAATAAGTTACTGTAATTAAGTATATATGTATGCATACATATTTATACCTAATGATATTTATTTGATAGGTAACAGCTCACAGTTAACAAGATTATGTGCGCATCCTACCCCTCAAGGTACTTTTTTTATTTATCAAATTCCAATTTTTATAATTTGAAGTAATAAACGTTCTTCTTTTTAACCAGGAAGTATAGTAAGCACTGCTAACTCATATATTGGGAACATAATACAAGGTAATATATTAATAATATATTGATATTTTAAAAAATTAGAGCTCAAATATCTCATAAAAATAATTTTCATAACTTCAATCACTCCAATAATTAAAAATCTAAAATTTTAAGCAAGTATTAACAACATTGCTGAAAATGATACAAAAATTCATAATTTTTATGTATAATTCAACGCAAAATGGTAAAATATTTCAATAATTAATTAACAATAGTTAACAATCTAACTATTTATAAAAGATCTAAAATGTAAAGTAAAGATAGGCAACTCTGTCCAAAATAAGACATAATCTACGACGACCCATTTGCGTGAAATTGTGCGAATATTCGTGGGTCTTTGTTTGCGTTTCCCATAAGTGTAACGAGGTCGGACAATTCCATGAGAATTCGAGTGACGTCTCGAGTTTCTGTAAACCTTTTGGACAGATCGGTATCTCTCTCCGTCTGTGGAGAGTAAATGCGGTAAAAGGGGTGGTCGAGCTAAAAAGGGACTACGGCTTTCCGGCATTCTTCTTCGCGAAAATACGCGTGGCTCGCAAAAGCGCACGCAGTCTTTACCTCTTTGATCCCTACGAATAGAGAGATCTCGAAAATGCAAAAAGGGATCCGGCTACTCCGCAAGAAAGGACACGAATTGAGGGGGGGAAAGCGGGCTTTTCCTTGGCCAACAGCGAAAATCGCTGGGAATCGAAGGGGGTGACGTGTCCATTTGTGGTTGACCAGTTGTCAGAAGTGATCTGTGAAGGGTATAGGGCTATGGTAAGATTGTTATTCGTATTTTCCCATTTCTCGCGACGCCACAAAGGACATTCTCGTGGGATAGTCTCGTTCTCGATAACCGTGAACAAAATGTTAATCATCTCATTGGTTTTCCTGAAATTTTCTTAAGATTTCTTATAGAAACCATAAAAATACATTTAAGGAAACTAAAATATAAAATATATTTCATTTTATTTTTCTGAGCAGCACGTACTGAACATCATTTTTGAATAAAGATTCAATGCATTTGCAAAAATACATAGTATTTCTTACACCATTACATCTTCTTTTATACTCTTTATTATTGGTGATCAACACTACCAATTTAATTTGGCCAAATAATTAAGAAATTAAAATGATAGGATAACTTTGAATACCATTCAAATCATACTAATAATATAAAACAGCCATTGAAGCATTAAATTAAAAAATTAATTTTCAATATCTTTAATAACCCATTTTATCATATGTCTTACTGGATATGGCTATATCTGCCTTATCACTCAACATGATAATGACATTTTAGTTATAAGTTTAAGGGCCCTGCATCCGTCTATATCTTCAAACCCTAAGCATCCGTTTTTCAAGGGTTAATCATCATGAATCTTCCAATTACGCAAAATGTTCCTTCTTTTCAATCTCAACTAAGAGATAAGCCGTAGATTTGGCCTGTTGCTACGTGTCTTGGCTGCGCGAACGCGACAAAGGCGCAACCGCGACTTGGAAAATTTTTCGCAATGTAATCTTGCGCATTGATCTTCGAGAAAAGGGGTTGCCTTCCATGCATAATAGGTTCTGCTGGTCTCTTGCCTTAGTTAAGTCCGAGTTAGGTCGGATTAGCAGCGGCAGGCTTGGACATCTGTCGTATTGACGGACGGTGGTCAGCCAGATCTCGAAATGAACAACAATGGTACAGTCTCGACTAACAGACCCTGCTAAATCGTGGACTACTGCTATGAACGAACAGAGTATCACGAAATTGTCGTGTCATCCTCGACATTTCACTTAAACTACCTTCGGGCGAAGATATGTACCGTAGTTTTGGTCCAGCTCTTGTAACACCGTTAATGATTGATTTTATGCAATGATTTTAATACATTCTAAATTTTCTCAATACTGTCCATTTTATGAAATAATAGAATATTCGAAGTGAATTCAATTTTTGGTAAGAATTCTATTAGTGGCATTTGAATTAGTGAAATTAGTTAATTTTTAATGTCAAAAAGGAAAGAAATCATTTTTTGGATAATTGTTTTCTTCAATTAATTAATTCCAATTAGCTGTTATTCAAGTTTTTAATTAAATTTTCTGTTACTTAAAATATTGCCACTATACACTTCACAAATATGTTTCTACATTTTTTTTCATTGGTACAACCATAAATGGTACTTTGGGTCATTTTTTAAATTGAAGTACTTTTTTAACAAAATATCTAATTTCTTTAACATAACAGAAACATCCTGATAATTACCTTAGATCTATTTTTATTTGTCATAACGAAACAATAAATATTATATTTTCTTCTACCAAACTCAACCAAAGCCATCCAGAAATTAATTTCCATCCCAGATTTCTTTCGAACGAACGTGATCAGAGAATTTGACAATTGCATCCGAATCCATTTTTACAATTTTGCGAATTGAACGGTAAATTGCTGTTCACTTTCATCCAACGCGATCTCACGGATGGTGAGTGTTTTGTGCAAGGATGAACGTACCTTGCCCTGTAACAATGTTGCTTAATAAGCTTATGCACGCTCGAGCGAAAAAGGATTGCTTTCGTTGGGCGGCTTGCAGATGTCAAGCGTCCGTCATATTTGATATTCCATCGTCGGGGACCCTTTTCCCTCAGGTTATTTGCGAAAGAGTTTTCAGTTTCCCGGTACCGTTACCACGCAGTGGGTCTACCATTTTTCCAAACCTCTTGGACAATACCTTTGACTAGGACCCGATGATCCTTCGGGACTTTATTTTCTTATCTAATTCTTCGTCCTTTCTGGTATTATTCAATCCTTCCATTAAAAATCGTATAAAATTTTTTCGAAGAAAAGTGTATTCAGAAAAAAAAAAAAAAATGGAAAGTATTTCCTGTGAAGAATTTGATTTTGATGGTTCCTCTTCGAGGTGGGCAATAGCTAATCTTGTCTCGGGGCGAGATTTTATAATAGAAGTGTCTTCAGGTGTGATTAGACTCAACTGGTGACGTAACACGAAGAATTTCCAAAGAAAACGTAACTGTTACCATTCACCCGATTATTACTTTCCATTTATGGGTGCACACGTCTCCACGATGCGACGGGAGTGTACATGTTTCTAATCACATTACTGGTTTTAATTCTTTGGAGACCAGACGTGATTTCTTAATGCACAATTAGTTTTCATTTGATAAGAGGGAAAAGACAACCGTTCTCTGTGTTAGAAGTATCAATATAATAGTATTTGTTAAAAATACTGAGTATCAGCTCAGTATTTAATAATTAGCACAAATATAAGAAAAATAATTTAATGACTAATTTTTAAGTGTTTCTGAATGTTTAATTTTTAATGTTGAGATTCACCTTGTTATAAATGTTTAATTGAATTAGGTTTCGCACAGATAAGATTCGGCTCGACGTTGATGCAAATACACGTACGTCGTAAAAAAGATATAAAACCAAAAAAGATAAAGAGGCCATTAGATGGGAAACCATTCTCAAAAGGTATAGTGATAAAGACACTGATTAAAAAACCCAAGAAGCCAAATTCTGCGAATCGAAAATGCGTACTAGTTCGGCTTTCAACTGGCAAGGAAATGGTGGCTTATGTGCCCGGTAAGTAATTCTACTTGTATAATATATTAATTCATTATTCATCGTTACAGTCATTGGTGTAATTTGAACCTTCGGGGTGGGCCAAATTCCTTAGAAATGTTAGAACTTTAGAAATTTGAAAATCTGGAATTTTGTAGTTTTTAAATTTAAAAAAATTTCATATTATTGTGAAGTATTGCCAGCTTTCAATTTATATTCCTATAATGAAGTATTGCAAGCCTTCAAATAGCTTCAATCAATCACCTGTTCGTATTGTTTCATTTCAGGAATTGGTCACAATCTTCAAGAACACAACGTCGTATTGTGCAAGGTGGGTAGACTGAAAGATACCCCTGGTGTGCGAATAAAATGTGTGCGTGGAAAATACGATTTACCTCATGTAGTTAAGAAAACAAATTGATTACATAATTCGTTGAATTTTTTATAAAAGTATCATTATTGTAAACGGTGGAATGCTATCGTACCTTCTTGTATCAATACCAACAAGCAACGTTATTAAAGCATCGTTCAAACTGCTTGTATACATATAATGATAAACATTAATTTTTATCACATTAATCCTTGATCAGACTTAATTCTTTGTACTCCATTGGCGCCAGTATAGTGACACACATAACTTCTAAAAAAATTTCTAAATGTGACATTCGAGGTGTATTCATAAATCTTTTGTAAAAAATGCTTGGAGCGCAAAGGGTTAAGAATGCCTCGATATCGCACGAATTCGATGAACGAACAAAGGGGGTGCAGTGAGGTCACGCTTTTCGGATCTAACGCCCCACAAATTGCAGCCTTTTGACACACATTTCGACTATTCGCCCCCCGCCATGGGTTTACCGTTAGATGGACCATGCGTCGTCCTTCGAGACACAGGCACAATGTATATTCTGGTAGATCGGGATGTCACAATGCAGAAAGGGTCGTGGTGCAGCCCTCTTCTCTCGACATTATTACGGAAGGGTTGCTCGTGAGCCTTCCTGCATCTGCACCCTGGTGCATCCACCCACGCGGCCACTGGCTATTGGCCACATGACATGCTGACCAACATCCTGATGTTTTCAAAAGGCTGGCTCTCAACCTGGTCGTTTGAACGACACTTCGAAGAAACTCGACTATTTTAATCTTGTCGATACATGCGAACGGTAGGCGTTCCACGATAATGGATGTGCTCCTTCAACGAATATATAATATAATGAAAATTATATAAGAAGCACTTGGAATTGAATTTTAATGAAGATGTAGGATGAGAACCTAACGGAGAATGGTCAACCCCTTGGTAAGGGCGACGATGACACAGATTGTTATCAGACTTACGCAGAATAAATTTGGGGTTTGTTAAGCTATACAGTTCTACCCTTTACTGTTGCCTGATTTGAAGCGCAATTTTTTGACTATGTAAACCCAAAATATTTATCAAATATCAAGATTGGTGATGAATCAGATTGGTACACATGGAATGTCATTTTTTTTAAATAGAACTTTATAGATAAGGTAGATGAAAAAAATATTGGCATACCAAGTTTTATTATGACAATTATAATTAAGCATTAATTAATACGTATTTAAAAAATGACTTAAAGAATTAACATAATTCATAATAATTGATTGTTACACATTGTTTGGTACATGAAACAAATTCACGAAATTCAAACTTTAAAAAAATGACATTTCATAATATTCAAAGAAAAGCTTTCACTAGAGGGGTGGTTGATCATAAAAGATCCACAGAAAAAATGACGGGATAAGAAAAAAATGCGAATGAAAATTACTTTAATCCGTATACGAGGAGGACGAAGGTAAAGAGGCGAAAAGTGGATTCCCTTTTTTTGCGTCCTGGGCAAAAATGGTCGTTAACTAATTTAAAACCGTTTTCGAAGTCAGGCGAAGTTAATCCGTTATGCTATAATCGAGTTTCCTTCAAATCCAACCGATCCTCTTCTTCTTCTGAAGCGTTGTAAACCCCTCGACGGATAACGCGGCTAATAAAAACCAACGACACGGTATTTTTGAAAAAGTCCGCAGCAAATCCATACTGCTTTTATTGCGTTACACAGGACGCGCGTGTACCTGACTCGAGTAACGCGTACATTTACCATTTACGACCTCCCTTTTTCGCCCTTTTACTTCACACCATGGATCCTGGGATCCTGATGGCACCACACTGGAACTGGTTGCTTTATTACGGTTTTCCGCAATAATCACGGTTTCTTTGTCGATTGCATTTCGCCCTGATAAATTACTTTCACTCCCGAGTAAACTTGTACATTAGTTATTCCCTCACCGATTTCGATCATTTTTAAATACATTGTAAAATTGGACATTTTAAACAACATTTTTTTTCACGAAAAAAGAAAATTAAAAAAGGATTAAACATTGATTTCAATAATTTTAGGTTTTGACTTTCGTGGCCGGCCATTTGACAGTGTAGGTATAGAAATGTAAACAAATTTTAAAAGAAAGTATATGTAGAGAATACGGGAGCTGTTGCAATTTTTGGGGGTTGTAAAGGATGTTTCTAACGGGTTTTCTTGTTTCGAAGAAGGAGAAATATGGTTCAAGGAGAACAAAGTGGGGCAGCAGTCCACAAAACGCGGAAATCTTTCAATGACCGCGTCACTCTTTTCGAAGGACCTTCAAATAAATAGCATGTAAATGCTTTTCGTCTCTTCTCTCTAGAGAGATTTTCAACTCTTTACCGTACGGATTAGTAATCGGACACCGAACGATCTGCTCTCGAAAGTTTTTGTCCTCGACTATTTTTGCCAACATCTCTTTACTATTTTCTATTTTTCCAAGCAATTTTTGTAAAATCAATTATAAACAAAAGTTTTTTATGGAATTAAAAACAATATGAAAATTTTCCAACAGCAAAAAGTACACTGAAATAAATATTTGCTATAAAAAATATTTCAAGCATATTGTATTAATTGAAATAGTGACTTGCTAATTAAAAATTAAATCGTATACCTTCGAATATCTATAAAAATAATTACAATTAGTTTCATAAATTACCTCAATGAATAACATTTCTTTTTGCAAAATATATTTTTATTGCAACGATAGTCTCCCTATAGAAAATAATTTATTTTTCTCAGACATTTTCAAAAGATCCCGGCGATCTCTTTGGCAAATAAGACGTATCGATAAAGACGCTTTAACTGAAAGGTGTTCACTGAAAGGTGACCACTCGGTCAAGGAATAAGATTCGTTCTCGAAGATCTATCCGAAGGCGTGTCCTGCGATATGAAAGATCCTGAGGAAAGAAAAGGGTTCCCGCGGGAAAGGAAGGCGTACGCGAGCACCGGAAATAAGCAAATCTCGAAAGTCTGTTGGCAAAACTTGGCCGGTGGTCCGACCGCAAGATAAATCGAAAAGTAATTACTTTGGCTCACGTTGAATGACTTAATGTGTCTGTAACCACCATCACGTTTTTCTCCAGTCGCTCTGGACTGCTTTGGTGTCGAATTCTATTAAAAGGGCTGATGTCTGTCTAAAGAACTGACACTTTCAGACCCCCTACTATGCAAAATGAAAATATATATTTGGAGCCATCAAATGGTAAAAGAAATTTCTATCTAGGATCCATTTCTCTTTCTATTTTCAGCAAAAGTAGTTTAGCAATTAACCACAATCGATCGTTTTAATTTTCAAGCAAAGAAAATGTAATTCTGATTGCAGCAACTATGCAATTATTTGATACTCGATTTGGAACAATACGTTTGGAATCAGGTGAATGGTAAACGCAATGTTTACACAATTTTGAACCCATTTCAGCGAGTTCAGTCGATGGAAAACCATTATTACGTTACAAGAACTGCGATCGTTTTATTGGTGGAACTTAATTAAAATAGTACGGTCCCATAGAGACCTATAATGAGTTCTCGAACAAGAACACTGTTCCGTCTTTGTGCGAATTGTGTTACCGTCAGGGTAAAGGTAAGTCGAAAACGATTGTCTACTTTAACGAACGGTATGGTCAGAAAATTTCTCAAGGTTTTATTGCACGTTATTTGGAAGCTATATGCCTTTTACCTGACAATATTCCCGTTTAATACGAAACCATTTCGTCTTTCAGCGAACGCCACATAATGTCCATTGACACGTTGTACAGGGTGTTGCCGATCTGGTGGCACAACCGGAAGCGGGGTGAATCTGCATAAAAAAAGTAAGTAAAAAATGTAGGGTGATGTTTTTTTATGAAATTTCTTCTCGTAATAAATCAATGTTAATTTTTTATTTTCATTTGATATATTTAATTTTCTCTTTTCGAGGCTTTTAAGTTATTGGGTCTAAAGGACATGATAATTACCGATTATGACCCCCTTTCAAAAGCAGCATTGACCGCTCCAGTTATATTTTATATTCCGTTAGAAAATTCGGGTCATTTTCACGAATGCTTGACAAACAGCCTATAAGTCGAAGTTACTTGACGAACATCTGTTTAAGTTTCTGATAATATTCAACGTGGTGTGAATACAAATGGAAATATTGCATGAACTTGGTTTCCACTAACCATTATCGTTACGAAACACCATTGTCCTCTACCTTTGGGAAATTATGAAGAAGTCGTTTCGAGTGATTACAGTTGTGAAATTACGAGACACTTTCTATTAGCCATTTGCGTTATCTAACGATGTATGTAAACGGTTAAAATCATTTACAACATCACGATTGCATGGTTCTGGATTATAGTTGATTTAAAATGTTCAATGATCAAAACTCGTAGACTATCGATTTTTAAAATTTTTGTATTTCTCAAAAAAAAAGAATTTGATTGATCTCCTAACCATTTAAAAATTTTAAGATACCAAAATTTCAGAATTCTAAAATTTCAGAATCCCAAAGTTACTAAGGGACTTGGCCAATTTAAAAAAAATCCTAGTTATGGTACTGGATAGATTTTTATTTCCATTTGTTTTAAAGCAAATAGAACAAACAAATGTGATCTAAAAAAATGATATATAAAAGTCTAATAACAACCCTTTCGTTCATTCGTTTCTCACCGTAAGAAAAGCGACAACTCACAGCGGGCCAATTTAAAAGATTTCAACGTGGTACGTCGAATTGAGACGTTTCCACGACGAATCATCATGAAGATTTTGCAACCCGTACCGTTACATGGTTTGTATACATTTCTGTGAGAGCAGAGCAGATGCAAATGCGCGGACCATTCATCTGTCGTCGTACCGATGCGATGGCCACGGGAAAAATCGCAAATAACGGGTTGCGGTCGTCCCTGCACCATAGAAATGTGGGTTATGTGGCCAAAAGAGCAAAAATTTGTATACACGAGAATGGGAGGCGGTGCAGTGAATTGAGCGCCAGGGTGCTTTTCTATGGGTAGGACACGACGTTTTAACGGGGCCCAAAACGGAGGACTAAATTTGGCGTGATCTTGGGACGAAGACATGATGAGACGTCTCCACTATATCGAGCATAACTGTACCTTATCCTTCGACGTTTCTCGTTTCATTCCTACTTTTCTCACACTCGAATTTCTTCGAACTTTGTCGAACACAAAAATTTTAAGATTAAAAAAAAACTTTCAATTAATTGAAAAATTTTGGCTCGCTAAACACAGGAGATTTGAAAAATTAATTCTTTAATTTATAAAATTTATTGGATGAAAATCCAACTCAATCACAGAAAGCATTGGCATATGAATTTTTATAATGAAAGGGTTAATAAAATATATATTATATTAGAGTTTAGAACACAGGATAAAATTATAATGAAATTTTAACGACTCGTTAGAAAGCTATGAAAAACAATAGATGCCAAGGGTGCTGCAGTGGAAAGTGGCTGGCCCAACAATTAACGAGGCAGCCGTGAAACTAAACCATTAGTCATCAGGAATCGAAGAAAAGAGGTTCATCTTCCGGTGCTATGCGATGAAAATTGCCATATGTTGTGCATCCCTAACGAGCAACAACCAAAGATGATCCATCGAGCATTTCCAAAGGACGAATGTCAAGGTGCAATACCGTTGTCATTGGCGTAACTAGGATTATTATCTGGAGTAGGCTAAATCCTCCAACTTTATTAAAAAATTGAAGTGTCTAGTGATGCTTAATTCTAACATACTTTTTATTCACAATTTTAGAAAATTATTACATGTCCATGTAATAATAGTCATTGGACGTAAGTAGGTTAGAGTCAAGGTAGACATACCTTATTTATTACAATAATTTCTAGAGGACTAACTTCATCTTGACCCCTACCTACTTACGCCAATGACCACTGTCCATCCCCCAGCAACCACCATTCAGATGGACGCATAAAAATTTCGCAAATTTCACTAGGCCGCAACGCTTTCGCCGCATAATTTATGAGCACTTTACGCAAATTCCGCGATTCTTAACCCTTTCGCCTGTTCCAGTCGTAAATCATCGGACACGGGCCAGAAACAAAAGGCAAGCACGAAATACTAGGGAAAATAGACATGGAAAGGACCGGAGTAAAGGGTTATGCAGCGATTCTATGCATAACCGTAAGGACAAGCTAAGCGTTATACAGACAGACACCCCGCAACGCGGATACCGGCTACCAAAAATGTCGAAACATTCAACCCTTTGCCGAACAGTTGCAGAAAGTGAATGTTACCCGTCCTTACGCGGGATTTAAGAGGACACCGACGGAAGGATTTAGTGTGCCAGCCGGTAACTGGATGTTTGGAAAGGCTGGAGAGGCACGCTGACTACGACGACCGGATTAATTTAGCGGGATTCGATTGTTCGAGGTCAAGAAGCTGTTGCGATTTGCTCCGAGAACGATAAAGACACGGCCACGACAGGTACGGTGGCAACTTCACGAGTATACCTAGGACTATAAATATCGACGCAACTTTAATTTTAGGAGACACCGAACCTGCATTGTATTTCGCGACACGCCTACTTGGGTCTGATAAACGAATTCAAGGCAGAACGGAGTATTCATGCCATCTCCCCCTCCGATTTTACTCTTTATGTATACGACTTGATTGGCTTGACTAAGCGCTACTTCATTTTATTATTCCCATTAACACTTTGACGGTCGCGCATTTCGTGGAATATTAATTTTTCTGATTTTATGTTTCTTAATACCTACTTATGTCTATTAGGATGTTATCAAGAATTATGCTTGACCATTCTGTTTAACGTAAGCAGTAAAATTGATAAATTGTAGAGTTAAATTGTAATTAGTATTTGAAAGAGTACACAAAGGTAAGGTTAATTAAGGCACTCATATTTGCAATTTTATTAACGATTTCATCCCTTATGTACTAACTTAAATATTGTGCCTATTTCATTATAGTAATTCAATAATAATAAACAATTTATTGAGTCTATCTAATATTTCTTCATTACAACTCAAAAAGTTTCATATGGAACTTTCTCAACCCAAGTATTCATTTACATATTTTTAAAAATAATTTTGTATGTCTTTGTAAAAACATTGTAAAACCATTTTCAATCTCCATTTTGTAGTAATAATTTACGTTTTCAAAATAATAATTTATGCACTTACGGGGTTGATCGGGGGTGCATCGTGAACAATTCCAAAAAAGATGGCAGTTGTCAAAGCTAAATAAAAAAATTAATAATAATTCTTAACACGTGAACATTACGACGTGAAATTATATATTCCTCGTTTTAAAATTATTGAAATCTTAATTTTAAGAATTAGCTAGAACTTTAAACTTTATTTTATTAAACGCGCAAGGAATTAAAGTAGTCATTATTGGTCCCAAGTACCTACCAACGCGTATTCATTATCGCGTTCCCGATGGTGTCCACGTAATCGCGTAAACGTGTCATTCCCTAAACATTTTGGAAATAGGAAGTGGTGAACGCGTGCCAGTCGGCATCCCGGCGCTATGGTCATCAGGAGTGTACCCCCTCCATTTTCTAAGGAAACCTCTCCTACCCCTGGGGTCTTGCAAGGGTTGGCCAGTATATAAGCGAACTACACCCCCTCTCGTTCTAAACGATTTTGGCGATTCGCTCTGTGAACACGATTTACCTAAAAACCGTAGGACTGTTCGTAGGAACCGACTGGATTGGGCGTCCCGAACGTGTCGGGAGACGCGCACCATTCGAACGACGACGATACATACATGGTGTTGTGATAACAGTGACCGGTGTGTGACTTTGGATCGATCATTAGGTAAGAATCATTTATTGTTTACGATCACAGTTGTCTCGACGAACGGTGTACGGAATTTAAACTTGCGCAACCAGTGGATACGGTTAGCATATGTTTACTAGTTTTTCTTGAAAAACGAACCGATTTTGATATTCAGTAGTTTACGAATCCTCGATAGGTTACATCGAACGAAGAAACTCGGAGGTATTGCTCAACGTTCAATTGAATCAGTGTTTCGTCGGTGGGTAAAATCTTATTTTCTAACGCGATTAGAAGATTGTTACGCTCGACTTTCCATGATTTTCCGAGATTGTTATCCGTAATCTACACGAGAAAGTTTCTGTTTAGTCGCTATTACGTTTATCGCGATCGGCATATTGAGTAATTTATAATTAATTCGAAAGTTCATTGGAAAACTGGCTATTTATCGTTTTGCATCGGGAACGTTCAGTCAACCGGTCAATTTGAGAACGGTTTAGGAAATGATGGTTTTTGTTTTGCAGGCGGTGGAAGGTTGCAAAATGGAATCGTATTCCAACTCCTTGAGGGACAACGCACAAGTTCTCGACTTTACCTCCTGTTTGAAACGGGAGAAATGCGCAGAATCCTCCGAGCCACCGGTCCTCGATCTTTCCTGCAAGAAGCAAACTGTTCCAATGTTAAACAAGTTGATCTCGCATAACGAACCAGCGGACACGGAAAAAGAAGAAATAAACAATCATTTTGTAGATCCAGAACGAAAGAGTCCTTTCGAAGGACGAACGTTCATGGTAACGCCACCATCCGAGTCGGAATCGCCGAAAAAAATCAAATTCGAATCGATTTATAACTGTTCGAATGCGTCGGTTAATGTCATCGGTCAACACGGTGATTTCTCGGCTCTACCAATGAATATTCCAATCCCAGTAGTGCCTGCAGTACTACCAGCACTTTTGAGCCAAAATGGAGGGACGGTTAAACCAATTCAAGTAGGCGCCACATCCAGCATATCAACAACGACGCCGACCACCTACTGCAAAGAAATGGCACTGACAGCTTTGTCTCCTGATACCGGTAAAAAAGCACCGAGACCCTTCAAGGCTTATCCGAAAGACCCGTTGTCGCTTACCGTAGGTACGGCTGAATTGATGTATGATCAAAATTCTACCGAGGCGTATTCGGAATTCCGGAAACGAATGCTGGATTCGGTCAGACGGTCGAACGAAGGTACCAATATTAAGATGCGTAGATCCACCAAGAGCCCTGGATTACCTACCAGCACTGTGGACGAGAAAGACGCAGCTTATTGGGAAAGGAGAAGAAAAAATAATGAAGCGGCTAAACGTTCTAGGGATGCGAGAAGAGCCAAGGAGGATGAGATTGCGATCAGGGCAGCTTTCTTAGAGCAAGAAAATATAAAATTAAAATATGAACTTGTAGCGCTTAGAAATGAAACGGCTAAACTTAGATGCATGGTTTATTCAACTTAAATTTAGGATATTTTGTATAGATTTCAGTCATAAGTTGTTAATATTGTTTTGATATTGAAGGATTCAATCAGTTTCTCTAAATACTGATTCGAAGCTTTGTATTTGTTGCTGATGAAGAAGCAAGGAGTGGAATATTTGTAAAAATCTGTATTGCACTTTGTAAGCAACAAATTTTTTGTAAACGTTTCATAGCTTTTTCTTTTGTTTTAGTATTCTTGATAGGATTTCAGTATTGAAGTATTTTTTGTTGCAAAAATTTTTTGATTTCTGTTTAGGGATTATTCTTTCTTCAATTATGGAAATTTTTCAGACTATTGTTACATGTTTATAAAAAAATCCTTTCATAATATAGTCTGAACATTTGGAAATTAATTTGCCATGAATATGTGAATTATGAGTGCCATTTGGTATTGTTACAATAGTTTATCACACTGCCAATACCATAAAGTTGTTTACAAGATAACGATGATTGTGCCAAACAGGCAGTCTGACATTAGCTTTATCCAAAGTTTAAAAATATAAGAATCTTTAATTAAATGTTATTCGTACTTTAATACAAAAAGTATTCTGCACACTGTAAGCAAATCAAAATAATTAAATTTGTGTAAGGAATGTACATTATACAACATGATCGGAGGAAACCTGTAAATAAATGAAAGTAGGATAACAATAGCATGGAAGTATTCAAATTCCTTAAACTTCATTAGACATGTAAATATTGTTACTATATTTAAAATATATTTATAATAAAAACTTCTTTGAAAAAATATGATTTCTTATCAAATATTTTTATTATTACTAATCAGGTAATGAATCAGCCAAATCCACCATACATCCTGTTTCAAGTACATTTTTTTCATTACTCTGATTCTTAGTAAGTGCTTTTGTATATGACTTTTGTACTTGTCTTGGAACAAAAACTAAAGAAGATTTATCAGTGGTGGCATTTGATGGATTTGATTGATTTTCAATGGCACTAGTGTCTCTTGGTACTGTAGTTTTTGCTGCAACTGTAAACATTTTCTGTTTCTGATTTTTATTTAACCATATTTTCTTAGGTTTTAACTCCTTTTTTCCACTTGCAGACTCATCAATATCCATTTGTTCTTTTGACTCAGTTTCTACATGATTTGGAACATTATCAAATCTAAAATTCTTTGGAAATTTGTGTTCATTAATACAATGAGTTCTTCTTTCAATTGGATTACTAAATTTTAAATCGCACTCAGAAACATAACATTGATACTGAAAATAAAATATAAATATTATCTAATGTTTTTATACATAAAATATAATATAAACATAAGGTTTATAAATACCACTGGTTGTCTGGTACATAAAACTTGAAAGAAACTATCATGAGTCTCTTGAACATGGATGTCTAATAATCTGGGATTTGGTAAAGACTTTTTACATTCTGCACAAACATATCGATGATTGCTGTTATAATGCATCTCAAAATCAAGCAATGTTTGGAATGTGGCTTTACAACCATTGGCATAACAAGAAAATTCTCTTATGCTGAAATGAATAATTATCATTTTATTAAAATCTCTGTATTCATAATCAAAACATACTTCCACATCTGACAGGTTATGGTAATATATCCAAATTTTGTATATAGAATAAGTAATTTTTATTTACACTTCATGATATAATTCTTCATCATCTTCAACAGTAACACCTTTTCGTTGAAAAATTTTGCAAGCATTATATGAATCTTCAAAAAAAGGATCGTTGATGGGCCTTAAACCTACGCCTACGTTTTGCAAAAACTCTTCCATTCTTGCGAAATTGTAATTGTCAAGCTTTGTAAAAGTAACTTAATTTCTAATAATATATTATTCAATACATGTTATATGTTATTTGACAAATAAAAATTATTCTTTCACACAGCTATTCATACTTTTACCGACATTTCGCAACTGTGATGCACTCTGGTGGCAGTATATTTGAAAATTATAAAAGGTACCGTCGTCCGCCGACAAGAATAACGCAATTTGAATAGTCGCGCCTTACCTCAGCTATCACGTGATTTCGGTTGTAACACATGATTGGTCGAAGTGATCACATCTATTAATGTGTGTGTAGTATCGCACATGGCCTTGTGCTGTCGCGCGAGACTCTTCTCATCGGTGGACGCTACTAATACGTAAATATTTTTTATTTGTTCATTACTACGCGCCGCGAATAGAGTGTTGTTTATAGTGGTACTTATTAAACTGAAATAATGTGTCAAAAGTGGTCATAAACTTTTAATTATGTGATAAATCAAGCTGGCTTGTGGTCGTTTACAATCTCTGGATGCAGATTCTGGCTCAAGGTTATAAAGAAGCTCAGATTTTTGAAAAAGAAGAGTGGTGAGTACGTTTTTGCATTTACCAAGCGTGAATCGTTAATTCTGTTAATATTATGATTATGGCTTGAAATCAGTAAAATTTCTGATTTCAATGGTGTTTTAATTATTCGTTTTATCAAATATATGAGAATATACATAATAATAGTTTATTCGACTAATAGACGCGTCTTCAGATTTTCTAAAATATCGGCCATTTTGTTTTCCAATTCGCTACGTCTTTGCATCTCCGTTCTCTTATCCTGTAACATATTTACAACATTATAATTAAGATTGTCATAAATGAAGTATGAAATATGTGCAAGTATCTTTCACAGTAAATTTTCCTAACAAAAATGGTGTTACAGGGGAAGTAGAAATTTTCAAAGCGAATAACAAAGTAGATATTAATGTAAATTTTCTCGCGTGAACGTTTATATACAAGTGGTGGGGAGCTATAGTAGGTACTTAAACTATAGATGAATATCTATATATGAATAATCAACTATAGATGAATAATCAAGTAAGTTGAAATTAATTTTTTTATTAATTTATTTTAAGGTTGTATCAACCTTTATATGGTTTATTACCAATCCTAATATTATTTCTTGCACAAAATAAATTAAAATAAAATGTATTAATATTTTTAACAATTTTTCCCAAGTTAATATATTTAAAATTTTATACAAAATTCTGGGGAAGCTTTGTAATAATTTCTCTTTATTTAGATTTTCTCTAAACATTCAATTTATTATTTTCAAATATCTACACATATTCGATTACAAAAAATAAATCAATCTGAATGAATATTATAAAATAGGAGGATAACTGATGTAACTAATTGGTATAGTTGAACTGATCTCTTCTTGTCCCAAGGCTATCATAGCATTACCAGCATTCTCGTAATCTGTAACTGCAACTTTCCTATCTTTGCTTTCCGGTCCACTAGTTAATTTCGTTAAACTTTCGCTATATTGATACAACCGTTGGTCATTGGCAAAAACTCGAGGCAATTTCTCGTGTCCTCTTATATAATCGACATCATAATCATTAGGTCCAACCCCGAAGTAATCATAATCCTTTCCAGGACTTTCGGGTACCGTAATTGATTTCGAATTCTGCATAGCAATTTGAAAATTTTGCACTCTTTGATTTTTACCATCTTCTCTACGTGCTCCAGGATATATTTTGTTAAAATAATTCTCCATGGTTGGCTCAATATTTTCCGTGCTCCGTTTCGAAGATTCTAATCTCTTCGAACCAGAATTTTGTCCTTGAACAGAGGACTTTATTCTCAAATTTGGTTCTTCCAAATTTTTATAATCGTCGTTCAAGGTATATCTATGACGTTGCCAGAAATCTGGTATTTCTTCGGCTTCAGATCGCGTCCGATTCATAATTCCATCATTCACTGGTCTGTGAAACATTGATTGTTTCGAAGCACCAGTTCTAGATTCAAAATTCTTCCCAAAACTTTGATAATAGATATTCTCAGGATAATCGTAAGTCCTTGGTGCTGGAGGATCAACAGGTGGCGCCATTCTTCCAGGAGGTTGCCCCTGTTTTCCATTTCTTTTATCATATGGTTTAGCTTTCCCTGAAGAGGAACCACCAGAAGTATCATCCGCTTGAATCGTGCTATCCAAAATGAAATCAAAAGGCGGGGGCCACATTTGCAGCTCCTTTTGTTCGCCATGATGAAGCTTCCTGGGCAATGCTGGAAAACCTATTGTTGGTTTTAAGTTCTTCTTAGGTGGCCTTAATTCCTTACGGGAAACTTTTTTCGTGGCTTCCGGTACAGTGTTATCCTTCTGCGACTTCACAGTCGTCGAGAGTCTTACCTTGTCCAGTTCTTCAGGGGCGGTTAGGTACCTAACTGGTATAATCAGAGGTACGTGCTTGCTGAAATCCAACTCCTCATTGATTTTCTGATCCTTGAAGAAGGATTGATCTTCTCCATTGGAGGGAACTTTGCTAGAATACTTCATTGGAGGAGAGTCATCTTCCTCGGAGTTTTCATCCTCCTTCATCCCGGAGTCCGTATCTTCTTCAAGAGCGTACTCCTCGTATTTGTTCCTGGCGGGAAGGTATTCTCTGCTCTCATCTTCATTTTCCTTAGAAGTTTCTTCCCGTGAATTAGGAGTGATAGACGAAGTACGGAAATCGTTTTGTTGCTTCAGTTTGCTGAAGTAATTCACAAATCCATCATCCGTCAACTCGCGATTATCCAAAGGCTCTCCGTAGCTGTTTCGAAGTTGTTCAGGTCTCCTCTGTTCGTCATCTTTGCTTATTGGCAGTTCACCGAAGATGCCATACTTGTAAACATCATCGTCCTTCGACTGCTCTTCTTCATTGCTTTCCTGAGGCTCTTCCTGATCCGTCTTCTGTTGATTCTTAAAACTCTCTCTCGATCCTTCCTCCTCCTCCTCCTCCTCTTCCTCCTCCTCTTCCTCTGAAGGATTCTCATAATTTCCATCCTCTTTTCCCTGGCAATCTTCATCTCTGTGACCCGTTTGTTTTCCTCGATTTCTCTCGTTCCCTTCACTGCTATAATTGTCATCCTTCTCACGGTTTCTAAGATGCTCCTGTTGTCTCAATCTCTCAGCCTGCTCTTGCTGTCTGCGTTCCAACTCGGCAAGTCTCTCTTCATATTCCTCCCAACGTAATTTATCTGCATTTGAACCATTTGTGTCCTTCGAACCCATATCGTTTCCTTGTTGACCCCGCTCCTGCGTCATGCTCTTGTTTCTCGCGTTGCTGAAATTCTGATTGCGGTGAATCAGAACCAGTGGCCTGGGGTAGGACAGTTTAATGTCCTGCGGCGGAATCTCTGGTAAGGGTGGCTGAGGCATGGAGGGCAGGGATATGTTCGGCAAAAGAGGAGTTCTTGTATCGATCATAGGTGTCTGGGTCGACGGTGGTCCAGATGGTGTCTGAGTAGTTGAACTACCATTTCCATGGAAAATCTGCTCGTATTCCTGCAAATGATTCAGGATATTCGAATCGTTGCCAAAATTTAAGACACCTGTTAATCTGATCGTTTCTCGCTGTGGGGGTCTGCTAGTAGTTGAACCATTCTGATTAGACATGCATGGATTCTGGGTATTATTACACGATGTTTGGGTCGATTTCGCATCGTCTGGATTGGGCAATGTCGCCAATTGAATAGGATCCACCGTGTAGCCGAAAACCTGGGCCAGTCCTGAGAGGATCAGACCCAGTGCTCGCTTATCCCTCGTGTTATTTATTTCTGGTGATAACGACGAACTTGACTGACTTGCCCCATCGATATTCTCCGATAAGGTAAACGTCCACAAGCAACACAGAACGTAGAATGTCCTAAGCATCATTGTTGAAGATTTAGTCTTCTAGTTACACTTTATGCACCGAGTAATCGCGTAATGAGATTCCCTTTCTTAGACACCGTGACATCTTTATCTCTTCTAATGATCACTCCATCGAACGGTAGCACGTGTAGTAGAAACGTTCGAGCGATTCCCGGTTAAATATCATCGAAGAACAAGCAGGAGAGGTGTTCCATCGCGTGACAAAGCTTAGGCGGTATTGTACCTCGGGACCTCGCGAGGACTGCGACGAGCGTTCCGCTTCAGCATCGTCGGCCCGTGTATACTTGGCGGGGATGAATTTTTGCATAACATCGGAAAGAAATGTCGAGTTTCACCTCAATTGCACGTGGTTGGCTATTGGTTAGCGACAACTGAAGCGTCACGGTGCAGCGTGGAAAAGAAATGTCGTAAAACCGTGCAGGATCGAACGGTGATTGTCCTTTTGAAATAGGCGCAATAATTGTACGTGGAGTATAATTATGTGAGGCAACCGGTCGATATTCTTTTAATGAGAAAGGAATGGATCATTGATTTTTGAATGGAAGGAGAGAGGTGAATGATTGAGTAGGCGTTGTTTGTTACAGTTGAATTGTAATTGAATTATGGTGTATTTTCTTGGGGACGAGGGGGTAATTTTTAAGCTGGAAATTTTATTTTATTTAAATTTAAGGACTTATCTATTTTAGTCTAACCAAATCTAATCTAACAAATTCAAATAATTTTTTTTTAAAATTGCATATCAGATACATAGACTACTTTGATAATTCTTATATTTAATAATTTACACAAATTCTGATCCAAGGGTCTTTCCGAGAAGCTCCAAACACAAAAAGCAAACGGTATCTCCAACTTTTCACTTTCGAAATTTTATCGGATAATAAATTCTCCGATTGTTGCATAAGACAGGAAACGAGCCAATTAAAGGCACCCGTAGAGATCAGTTCAATCGACCGATACTAGAGAGCAAGCGGAAATGATGTTATTCTATCAATTAAATCAATTCGTTGAGAAACAGGATCATCCAATACATAATGCAATCTCTGTATCGGGATATTGTTTCATTATCTATTATAAGTCGAGTTTAGGTATCCATAGAGCCTACTTTCGTAAGTGTGTCGATTATGTTACCTGTTCTCCACCCAGAGAAAGTTCGTACAAACGGTATCGCTTCAATTTCCTGGACTGGTGTGACAAAACCTCCTTAAGGGGACAATCGCGGAAGGGAGGTAGGGATTAACGAGTCGCGATACAAATCGGGAGAAGGGTACATATTTATGTAACAACGAGTTTCAGTTAAATGCAACGAGAGGAAATGGATTTGTTTCGGGCTTAGCTTCGATCGAATGGCATGCCTGTAATTGTTTAATTACCTGCTACGTGGATAATTACACGATGCGTGAAACGATGTAAATTGTCTGTACTAGATTTGAGAACGTTCCCAGGACTATTATCTTTATTATCTTTCTTGTTTTCACGAACAATAGTGGATATAAGTGTTACGGTAGCTGGATTGCTTGGATGTATTATTGAGATTGTTTTACAATGGTGAAATTATTGCGTGACACGCGATTCTCATTTACACGGTGATCACTGTTTATCATTCTTATGTTTAATGGTTAATTACAAGCTTTTTTTAAATAATTGACTGGGAATGCTGTACAAACATTTTATTTTGTAAAACTCTGTGTATCATGTATGCATCATTTTGTTTTAGTTAGATAAATATTATTCAATCGTAGAATTTTTTAATATTCATTGTCTTTCAAAATTCATTAATTTAAAGAATACTAAAGGTATTAATGAATTTGTAATTATTCGTTAACATTTCGATTACATCCACCAGTGTTTCTATCAATGTTATCCATTTTAAATAGCTCGAATTTCTTGTTAACTCGATCCAAATATATTATCAGAGCGGTTTGTTACGTGGTTCAGTGATCCCATAAATGGTATATGTATCAGACTTGTCAATCAGGGCGTTAGAAAACACACCGGTATATCTAGAATTGAGTGTACATAACAAATTGCAAATGATCTTCATAGGATATTGGTATAAAAGAACTGTCCACCCTTTTGATCATGGTAGTTCGATATTCAGCTAGATTGGTATCATGAATCTCCTGGTAAGCGGTAGTATTGTGTTCAGAGTTATTCCATTTTACCGTAATAGTGTCTAATCACTATATTGGTGACTTAGTGACATTCGATCATCATTTTAGTTGCTGTTATTGTTGGCTCTTGTTGCCTTGGGTACAGGAATCACTGTTCCTGAAAAAGTGGTGGATACCAATGATGTGGCTCAACAGGTAGCCAACGATAATCAACCACAACTCGAGTCTCAGGATAACGGCGGCGATAAAAAAGTGGCAAAAAGAAGTTACGGTTGGAATCCGTGGATTTATTCAGGGTATAGTTACGGTTGGCCCTGGTAGGTAGATTGTTGGGAAACAAATTTTTCTTTGAGAAAATTTATCTGTTTACGTCAGACCTTTATATCTTTCAAATTTCTGAAGGGAATCACTTTTAAAGCCTCGGAGATTCTTGCTCTATCAACATAAATATAAAATTCAATCAAATAGGACATTCGATGCAAGAAAAGTTTGAACGACAGTAATTAAATATCTAGGCATTCACGAGTTACGATTTTAGGTATGGTATTGGTTCAGGACATGGATGGTACCCAGGTGGATGGTACACTGGTTGGCCGGCAATTTATGGCCACGGTTATGGTGGATACTTTGGATACCGCGGTTACGGTGGTTGGTACAAAGGATGGTAAATCGGCGAAAATCGAATAATCGGTTTTATAAATAATGTAATCCATTAACTTTCGATATCTAAGAATTTTCAAACTGAATAATTACAAAGTTACATTAAGTCCTAATCTTAAATATAAATCAAACTACAATTATAAGATTAAAATAAGATGATATTCATAATCTTCGACATTCACTAATTAAAACATAATTTTATATTCATTCAATTACTTCGTGACTAATCATCAGAGAAATAAAATAACTAATTTACATTAGAAAAATAAATGAAATCATTTTTCACATACCCTTAGGCGTTTCCTTATATAAGTTGCTAATATTTCCTCGCAAATGGTCAGGTTCTTATCAGTATCCTGTAAATTAGAAATCGTATAGTACGAGATGACGATGTTTCTCTAATTTTTACGTTAATTAGTTAACCTTTATGATACTCGTTAGCTCCTTGATCTTTTGTAATTTAGCCTGTTGCTGCTCGGATGAACCGTTGCATAGTTGATGTCCATTCGTCGCGTACATTTCAAGCCAAAGAACGTTTTACGTTTCTGAATTTCACATTAGAACACCATAACACTTGTCGCTCGTCGTGACACTTCTATGCATCTGATAATGCGGCATACTGTTGCTTGGAAACAAATTGAACAACAGAAACTTTATTGGATTTTTCCTATCACCTTTCCCGCATTATTTCACTTTGTGTTCATATACATGTTACTCAGTACACAATTTAATTTCATTCATAGATTTTTCACAGTGTTTGTTGAAATTTTTGTTCATTTATTTGTATCGTTCATCGATGTAGAGAAATCTATTATGCTTGCAGTTGATAGTAAGGGTAAATGATTTATCGACATGATTAAGGTTAATTATAATAAATTTGTTGGAAAATAATGTAGATATATAAGAATTTTATTTGAAAATTACTTAGTAAAATAAATAATAAAATATGGGATTATATATTTATATATTTTACAAAATTATTTCCATGTAAAAATTAAGGATTTATGTAGGAATGAAGGTGTAGAAAAATGAAATTAAGTATAAAAATTCTATTAGAATTGAAATAATTTACATTATCATTTAAATAATTAAAGAAGAATGCTACTTTTAGCCTAAGTCGTTAAAGTAGAGTTCTCTATTTACCACCCTTTTTTCATAGCTTACTATCAAACTTGTTAGAGGGTGTGCTGTAGGGTTGAAAACGTACAGGGTAAAATTTTTGCCGCGGGATAAATTTAAAAATGAACAATAATAACTTTCATTTCACCATTGTGAATATAACACTTACAATTTTTTGTCTATTAAATAAAGTATTTTGCCAGAAATTAAAAAATTAAATTGGAATGTAGAATTTTTTAAATATTCCCTTTAATTTGAATCATTTAAAAATTATTCCACATGTGATATTACAAAAGAATAGTTTTTAAATGGTAAAAAATTAAATTTAGAGTACTTTTATTATTATCAAAAATAATATTGACAATCCTTTAGAATGTTTCCCAAATGCATTTGAAACAATTAAATTGGAATCTTAAATTTTCAAAATACAATAATTATTCATGCTGCGTACGGGACCTTAAGCACACCCTTCAGAAAAAATAAGGGGTTCTCGATCACCCTGTCCCAACAGGAGTCAAAGGCTAACCGGCTCCAGTTTTTGTGGTTCGAGTTTATTGCTCTTAAGTAGGCACTGTCCATCACTAACAAAAGGATGCGACAGCATCCCCCTTTCGGTGGACCAGTTCTCTGTCAGCGGAAATTGACCGAGAAGATTTTTGAATAAGAATCAAAGGTTAACTGGATCCATTTTGCGGTTTGACTCGCCGCACAATGGACAGTGGTCAGTGGGCATTGTTGTTGAGAAACGGCAGCATCCCCATCCGGATGGTCCAGTTTTCCAGCGATACAGGATCCGCGAGAGTGTTCTGTAGGGCAGGACCTCGCCACGCGAGCAAACAGGTTCCGAGGGATGAAATTCTGTCGACGAACGAAAATGGATCGTGCTCCAGATCAGGTGGAAAACTGGTCCATCGTTCGGTGTCCCTTTCAAAAAATGGGAGCAACTCGTCCACGTGCTATTTGAGCAAAGATCAGGGATCACTGAGAGGAAACATAGTCAACAGGTTCATGATTCGTGAATAGGAGCAGGTTGTCTTGGAATTAGTTAGAAATCTGTAACAATGGTTTTTTACATGATTTTTATGGGGAATCTATTATGGTTTTATTAGGTTAAATTTGGTCTAAACTCTAAATTACTGCTCAAAATGAGATCAATATGGTATAAGAGAAACAACTTAATATATTCTATTTTCTAAGTTAACCTAATTTAATCCATTTTTAGTAGATGGTAGATAGTGAAATGGGTATACAAATTTAATTAGGAATACGCTAATTATTTTTTACTGAATTAATTTCTTCCAT